CCACCTGTCGCCAGGTAACAGGGACAGCACCTAACGTATTTTCTCGATGTTAGACAAGAGATACACAGATATATTCTTTCTATTTGATTTTTGCGAACCTGTGCCTAACAGTGGCAAAGAATTTAAGCTAATGACAATGATACCTAGGTAGATACTGGCAAAATTTGAATTGACATTAGCTTAAAACTCTAGAATAACAGACCAGTGTGCACACAGAACCCTAGTACCATGTGGGCGAAGCCGCGGGTTACAGCTAGTTTATTAAAAACTTTAAAGCTTTTTCATTATATTACAGAATCATTATATAAAATTTTACACCTGTAGCTACAATTGCACCAAATCATTTATTATTTAAAAAGTTTATCCTTGCCATAAGCTTTAGAGTCTAGGAGATAATCTGCGTCAAGCAGCTTATCTAGCGAATTGAAATGTTTACCCGGCCGACGGATTATGCCGAGCTGAATTATGTCAGTCTGTGTAAACTTTACCTTATATTATAGTCAACTTTTACAAAGTTTAACTAACACAAATGTTCATACCGATTACTTAAAACAAGCCCAATTAAATAATATGTGTCCATTCGGAATAATTTATAGTTATCGGCTTATCAGATAATTACAAAGGACCAAACTCTAATAGATTTCTAGTCTTTAGTAATTTTCTAATATTTAAATCCAAAATGGTTGAAGAAAAAAGGTTTATTTCAAGATTTTATTTTACCGTTTTGTTAAATTACACATCTCTAATACCAATCGATTTTAAGCTGTAGCTTAAAAAGATCAATTTCGTAATGTATTACGAAATTGTATTACGAAAATCATGTATGATTTTTACGAAACTTTCACATTTACGCAGCGCAAATAAGGAAAGCTTTTAAAAATAAAATATTCTCCCGTTTTTGCAACATTTTCATTGCTGCTCTACTCCTATAAGCCATAGCGTGATGTTATATACCCTATAGCACTCCTCGATAAATGGACTATTCAACACAAAAAAATAATTCAATTCGTTTCATTAGTTTCTGAGATGATAGAGTTCAACCAAACAAACAAACTCTTCAGTTTTATTATTAGTATAGATATTATGACTATGATAAATTCAGTGACTTATATCAAGTAATCTCAGAATTTACCTTGGTTTAATTACCTAATAAATCGGATTTAGAAGACGTCATTAGATAATATAAAATTTTAAAGCTTTTTTTTATTCATATTTTTTCTCTAAAATATGTAACTAAAAGTTGCTACTGATACCAAATATTGGAATAGTAACAATAATTCGTTATTTAAAAAATAAATATGATTATTTCATTGTGTATTTTTTTATTTTATCGACCTTCAAAGCGTAAGTAACCCATCTTACCACCCTCTCCTTTACGTACATACCTATACTGACCGATACGAACCGATTGAAAGCAGGATGTGAACTCACAAATTATTCAGGATTACATAAAAAATACTGACCTTAAACTCCATTTTTATGGGAACATACTGTGTTCCCATAGAACTTAAGTATGACTATGCGATCCTGCTCAATGGACCAAATACGAGTTTCGGACAAGAAATAATAAGATGAAATCAGTTGAACATTTAGTTTATTTCCATTAAAACTACATACTCATCAATTGACAATTAGATTATGAATGTGTACACGGAATTATGCCTGAATATGAACTAGATACTTATTTACAAACTATTGAAGCGGCCGTAAACGTAAAACCTTACCATGAAAAATTTACGGACATCAACATCTATCTACGATTGACAATCAATAGCCTCTTTGGAAGTAGCCTACCTAAAATGTAATAGCAAGAAAGAAATAAAAAGAGCTTATTATAAGGTATCCGATCATATCCCGCGTAGTCGTATCACACCTCTGTGTCCTCCCTTGAGAAAAACAGTATTGAGTTTAAATTCGCCCGTTGTCAGACTTTCTAAAACTTTTAATTCCTGTAACGATTTACTTGATTTACATTTTGATTCTTACTTTACATTCCACAAAAATGTTCTAGATTTTCTAAAATATAATAGCAAATAAGTATTGTTCACCTCATATACTAATAAACACTGTATCGGAAACACTTAAGACCTCTTAGACCTATATTTCTTTGTTTTCTTTTAATGGGTTTATAAAGTTCCCTTGTTTCTGTGTTTTCTCTGTTTTTGTAATTTAATTTATTTAACTAATTTTAATCTATAAGAATCAGACGTTAGTCATAAATATTTTGTAAGCGTTGTAAACACCTATAATTGGTGTGCATACCAGAATCTTTATAATTATGTTCAATTTAAGACTTAGTTTAGTATGTGCACTGTTGGTGTTTCTTTTAAATAAAATAAATAAATAAACATATTTCATGTACTTCCAAAAATATATACTTTGTATACATTTACTGGTCACTAAAAGGAATCAAATAAAATAACTGGTCACTAAAAGGAATCAAATAAAAAAAAACAGGGCTGCCACAATCGAAATAAAAAAAAAAAAAGTTGTATTATGGTTAATCTAAACAAAATTAGATCTCTTTCACCTACGGGAAGCTACGTCATATTCGATTGATATAGGCTATAATTTACGGGGGCAAAGTCGAAGAAAACCGATAAGCAGAGTGGTAAGTGTACGTTAACGCTGACGCGTTAAGAATTGGTATGTAGATTTGCATTTCTTGGTAGTTACCGCTAGGGGCGCTGTACCGAATTCCATACTAAAACCGTCAAAAAAACTTAGGTATACTAAGCGCTTAGTAATGAAATTAACTAATCAGTTCATAGTAAATATATGTATTTTCATATTTATTTACTACTAGTAGTTTTCTCGCGACATCATTCGCGTAAATGAAAGCCTATTTTACCCACACAGGTATAATGTATACCTTTCCGAACGTAAAAGGATTTTTAAAATTGGTAGTTTCAATTTGGAATAATAGATGACGTAATCCAATTAACTGTTTATTTATTTACTCTTTATTGCATTAAATAAAAAAAAATAATACAAATGGCGGACTTAATGCCAAGGGCATTCTCTACCAGTCAACCTGAGCGAATGTTGGATTTGGATGTTAGACGATAAAGAACGATATCGATATATCCAGTAAAAATTACAAAATAATAAAAATATTGAATAATTACATAAATACTAAGTTTAGTGTGTATCTATAGTCAAAGTCAAAATAATATTTATTCGAAAAGACTTCTTAAAAGTACTTTTGAATCGTCCAACATTTTTTTCCCTACCACTCGTTCAGGACGTCTTTTGGCTGATAAGAAGAATGAGCAAGAAACTCACCAGCTCTAATAAGCGTAATGACATTTACAAAAACCATGTCATTACCAGATCAATACATTATAAATCAACAAAAAAAAACTATCATCTTATAATGATAAATCATTTATGATGAGTTTAGAAGTAATCACCTATCCAGTTGCTGTATCATCTCAAGTCCAGGCATTCTTATCTGTTATATTTTTTTTATTTTTATTTTATTTATTTGACTAACCAACATCTGTTTACAATGATACATACTATTGATAACATTAATTCTTTTTTTTACGACTTATTGCAACAGGCACTAAATGGTTAGCTCCGCATGCATAATGAGCTTACAATATCTATTTAATTATTAAATAAAGTAACGCCTTCTCCTCATCATTTACAATACAAAAAAAAAATCAAACACAGAGCAAACAATACAGAGAACTGCCGATCAAAAAGGAGGCCGTGAATACTTTTTAAAATTCGAAACGTAACGGGAAACCGTTACACAATCGCAAAATTTCAAGCTACAACAAACAAACGCGGCGAAATTCCTTCATTACAACCGACAATGCCTACAGACGGCTACATACAAATAACTCCAGCGTCCAATTTAAATAACAGGCTCGCAAAGCTGAAAAACAACCCGTAACCGAAGTTGGGAATAAATTAGCGGGGGTAGCTAAAGCCCCCCTACCCAATGTGTACATTGTGCAAAATATTATTTGCCTTGCCAGACAATAATAGGATCTAATGCCACGCCCTGACATGTCAGCTTTAGTTGACTCCGCCCAACAGCGGCTAGTCTCCTATTGGCTTGCGTCGCTCTCCCTCTCTGTTTGCATTATAATCCGTCCCTTTCCTGCGTGTAGCTTTTTCCTCGACGCCTGAGGGGTAAATGTTTTGGTACGCAACATATACGAAGGTTTTCTAGAGTCCCGCTCGCATTGTTAAAGGATATCGTTCACGGATATTTTTTAAGCGAGTTTTATTTGAAGATGTCTACCTGAATGGAGTGTTAGAATTCGCTTTATGAGATTTTTTTCAATAACTACGAGTCGCTTGGTTAGTAATAAAGGATCACAAGTTGTACGTATACGCCTCTGCAAACAATTGCCTTTGCCCGTTCTGACGGTTTTTATTTAATATCTGTTTGATATTCGAAAGTTAAGTGGGTATATTTCTTTCTGAATAAAGGACGATGATGAGACATGAGTAATCCTCATTATGACTTCAGTAATTTTACTATGAATTATTTACTAAAATATACAGAACAGGTATAATATACCCGAATATAGTCACCATAGGAATGTCTTTTTATTTAATTAAAACGTAAAAGTATTCACATACTTTTATTAAATTAAAAAGAAATGTTAACAATATTATCTTTATATAGTCCTAAAGGATAAAACTTCGAAAAGAAAAACTGAGCTAAACGCGAACGTGAAAAAAAGAAGTCTTCCAAAAAAAGCGTTGAAAATGTCACAAAAAGTAGAAACAAAATTAACAACACAAGTAAAATAAAAAGCGTCCCGTCCAAAATAAATACCGCGACAAAGTTGAATCGATAAGCACCGAGCGGACTAATAATTATTAGTCGACGGCCTGAAATTCATGCACAAAGCTCCGACCCGCAGTAATAATAACGACAATTGTTGTGTTTACTGGAACGTAAACGCGCCCCCCTGCCCCCTATCTATAGGCGGAGTCTGAAGGGGCAGAGTCTCAGCAGTAGGGTGATGCCGCAGTCCGCGCCGCGCCACGCGCCACAACGCACCTCTGACATGTGACGATACAGTATGGAAGATTGCGATCTCGCCCAATACCGCGACATGATCATCGAAGGAGATCTACCGCTCGACTTGCGGCCGCCACCTAGACTTTATCTACCACACTACCTGCGTGACGAAACCACCGAGTATCCACCAGACGACACCTACGTGTCCGTCGACGAGGATACACCAGAAGTGCCACCTCCGTCCAGTGATTCGGACAGGTTCGAAGCGTCCAGTCCGTGCGATACTAAATCTAATTCCCCAAAGAAACCTAAACAGAAATCGTCGTCGCAGCTCATCAAACCGCCTTACTCCTACATCGCGCTAATTACGATGGCGATATTACAGTCTCCGCATAAAAAATTAACCTTGAGCGGGATTTGCGAGTTCATAATGACCAGGTTTCCTTATTACAGAGAAAAGTTTCCCGCTTGGCAAAATTCCATAAGGCACAATCTGAGCTTGAACGATTGTTTCATTAAGATACCTAGAGAGCCAGGGAATCCAGGCAAAGGGAATTATTGGACTCTAGATCCGCTCGCGGAGGACATGTTTGATAATGGAAGTTTTTTGAGGCGACGGAAGAGGTACAAGAGGCCGGCGCCATCGCTGCAGCACGCCCATGCGGTCGTGGCGATGCTGGCGAGGGAAGCGTACGCTCCACTATTGCCACTGCCGTGTTATTTGCCACCAACACCGTTGTTGTCACTGCCCCGTCCACCACCGGCGGCACTTCGGCCCGTGCCGTTGCCGCCGCGTTTAGCAGAGACAACAGAGCCTAGAGGCAAGAGGTCTCGCAACGGTTTCTCTATTGAATCTATAATCGGTTCCCAGGACAGCGCGGTGGCGTCAGAGCCTCGGAGAAGTGCATTTTCGCCCCTCCATCAGGCGAACGGTCCTCCCGATGACTGGAGGTGAATATACATCAGCGGGTGCGTGTCGAGTCTATCCCCCTACTGATTATCAAGACAGACAACTCATGACCTCGCTGTACGACTGATGTGCTAAAAAGTGTTCTAGTGACGATTGTAAGATAACAATTGTATAAATATTTGCTAAGCCGAACCGGGCATGAAAGCTTAAACCAAATATTAAATAGTGTTAGATAAAATATTGACCAAACCATTGTAAAGTTATTTATAAATCCTTCAGTTCGTTGTAATTACGGTGAAATATGTAAGTATTATCTGCTGTTATGTATTTGTTTACCGCATGATGCGACTGTGGCTTCCTCATTTGTTTTAATTATTATACTTGATTAATAAATCTTACGTGTCTAATACTCGTAAAATAACACCAATAGATGTGCCAAAACAGTACAGTATTAAAGTCAAATTAATTAATTTTGCATTGCCTTCCGAAATTTATATATATACAAGAAATATTCAAATTGTTTAAAAAATTAAGCGGTCTTAAAATTCTAGTCATTTTATGTACAAAGTAGTGGTAATTCTTGTAATATCGATAATGTAAATATCTTTTTATGAATATAAGTAGGTAGCTATGATATGCAATAATTTATGGAGTAGCAAACATTAATCGTAAGAAATTATTCTGGTCCTCTGTTCCCAAAATGTGTCGCATAATACGAAATGTTATAAGGTCTGCAAATAATAACCGTCAAAGAATCCGTAAGATGTATCCGTAAAATTGAAATTGTAGTATATTTTTGTGTAATAACTTATTTTTAAGCCGTACAATTAAACATAAAAGTAATACAGAAGTATTGATTTTGTTTTTATTTTCTTACCACTCTCACTTACATCAACATACATATTTATTTATAACAAATCCCCATATATAGATAAATTACCTACATTTTGTAATGTCATAAAATTCACTTTATGAAATAAATTATGAATTTGATGTGCAACTACTTTTCTTAAATTAATAGTGATTGAATAGGTAATTTAAATTAGGGGCAATATTTTTAAATGTTACGTCTTTTCTTCTTGGTTTAACTTCATTACCACAGGCAATAAAAGTAAACAATAAAAAAGCATACAATAAAGCTAAAAAATATTTTTAATCGTTTAAAAATGCAGCTTCATGTGCTTATATTTAGACAGTCCTCAAAAAGATCGTCATCATCAAAGGTAACTATATCGTCAGTATAGTTTAACCAGTTATTTTGATCTAACCGAAACTTAAATCAAAACACGCTTTAGAATGTAAAAATAATTTATCAAAATCGGTAGACCCAGTAAAAAATAATAACGTAATACACATAAACTAGAGACATATCGAAAGCTTCCATTTTTGAGAAGCAAAAAAAAAAGGTTTTTTTTAAAGAAGTTTTTATTTGGTATATTGTGTTCCACAAGTTAAGCCCTTTCATTTGATATCCACATTGAGTGGGTCGTTCATAAATGCCGCCATTTTTTTGCAGCGGCCTTTTGAATCACTACATAGTATAAATCGAAGTCGCTTTCTCTATCCCTACATAGGGATGTATCTTTAAAACTATGCAAGGGATTTTGATGCGGTTTTTTTCTTAGATAGGGTGATTCAAAAGGAAGCTTTTTATGTATAATACAAAGGCACGGAAAGCTAGTAAATAATAATACCGATTGTATATAATTACATTGTCATCAGAAATAAAGGTATATTAGGTACAAATTTTGAAAACTGTGAAGTGGGTGAAATTTAATTTGCCATATTACAGAAAGACAAACATCGGACAGATGAAACTAAATAAAAACATGTAAAAGAGCAGTCGCCCGTTCAGTGAAAAGTTACGTCAAAATCAGAAACGACATTTTTTTTTTTAATATCCATGTATAAGTTTACTTCCAACAATATTTAATTTATTCGACGAAGGCATCTGCAATGAATACATAAGCAACGAAATTAAGATCAAACACTAAATATGTTTTCAGATTGTAACAATTTCAATGATTTTATTAAGCTGTTAAGTTAAGTATCAAGTCGAAACGTAGCTGGAAAGATATGGAAATAATTTGTCTCATAGAGTTCCTGATATCAAATTCATTTTATAATTTTATTTATTCATTTAATAATCAAAATAGAAAAAAAAAACGACGAAAAACAAGTTCAGTTTGCATTGAAATCATATTAAAAACTAGTCAAGTATGAGACGGAGTCATAGCGCCGCGGATTACTACATTAAAAAAACGTTCATAAACTAAAACCGACTACAGCTAAACCACGCTCTAAAAAGTTTGATACAAGAAATTTATTTTATAGCGATAAATATATATATATTTTTTTTATTCTAGATAGGCAAGCACTTGACCACAGATCACCTGATGGTAAGCAATGCAGTGGTCTAAGATGGAGCGTGCTTGCCTAGAAGGAACCGATTCACTCTTGACTTGAAGAATCCCAAATTGTATTTGCCCGGAAACAGCGAGTCCGGTAGCGAATTCTACAGCTTTATCCTTTAGTCATCGCTAATTTTCGCTAATATAAGCTAATATAGCTATCGCTGTAAAATAAATATCTTGCTTCAAACTTTTTAGAGCGTGAGTTAGCTGTAGTCGGATTTAATTTATAAACATTTTTTATTTAAATAATTATCGGGTGTTTTTAAGGAAAAAAGTAAACAAAAGCTGTCAAAAAATGTATACATTCTAAATATACTAATTAAGCCCTTTCATTTGATACCCTACACGGAAGGATTGAATAATATATTTTTTTAGCTTCTTACTTTATGCTTTCTCAAGGACGCTGTTGCCAATTTAATGTAACGTCACACAAAAAACAAAAATATAGCACGCGGACAACTAAAACGCTTCTATTGATACCTTATTTGTCCAGTTACGATGCGTAGTTCCGAAATTATAAGGGAACAGATGAACATTCTTACATACATACATACTGGCCAAAATCATAACCCTCCTTTTCATTTCGTCATAGTCGGGTAAAACTACATACTTGTTATAGGGTTTTTTGCATTAGTTTCTTGTAATCTAGAGATATAGAAGTATTTTATTTAAAATTTCAGACCCATTACTGGGTCAAATGGGTCTGTGGGTCTCGTTACACATATTATCATTACGTCGCAAATTGTCCTGCTGAGCCTCTCCTAGGGATCTTCACATATAAAATAATATTTAGGGCAGGATAGGCAACGATCGGTTCTACACTGCCCATTTGATATAATGCGTACATGCTTCGTCATACAAAGTGAAACCAAATTGCATATTCAGATAGAACTTGAACTTTCATGATGCTTGGAATAATTGTTTTTTGTAAACTTACAACTACGTACAATTTTTTCTTATAAATTAAATAAACTCTACAAACAACAATGTTATTTTATTTATGCCATTCGAAACGAGCACATCTCTTGCATCTCAAAAAACAGCGTTTTGAGTAATACAAATTTGTAGTTTTTAAGGTTTTGGTCTCTAAATCTGTTTTAGACGGAAATATTTTTATTTTTTTACCATTTTTAAGAAAGGGCAAAAATTGAGTATTAATTTATAAGTATTTTAGCAGTTCGAGAAATTAATTAGTAACACGTTATATTACTCTTTTATACAAAAGCTGTAACGCGCCCTGCTGCATCTTTAGTAAAATGAGTTATGCGTTATACCCAGAGGTCGGAATTAGGTAGAGTTATTTATATACTTGCATCGAAATGTTCATATTAATGTGGACCTTCCCGAGATTTCTTTATTTCTTCTTTCTTTATTTCTTTCTTTCATTGATGTAAGTTTGGCAACGTCGTGCGTGCAGTAGTTTAAATTGTGTAAAAGTAAATAACTTTTTATTTAAAAAATCACGGGAGTTTTTCTGCTCTTTAAAATTAATCTCGGGATTTGAGGCATATCCACTTTATTCTTTCGCTGTATGAAATCAGTGTAAGTACATGAATAACTCTACCTAATTCCGACCACTGGTTATAACACCTGATATATTATAAACCAAGTTATTTATTGCAACTGTTAGTTGCATAAGCTTGCCTTTATACGGAATTAAGTATGAGAACAAAGGCCTATTATTATAGACGATGGCTATGTAACAGTTTACTAAATAAACTGTTTCTCTTTTACGTGTTTAGCTGATGTGCTTAATTCCTTTTTACATTTTAATATAAATTAGTTTAAAGATAAAATAATTGTATGTACACTGGCGGCGCGGCTCATAATGGTGAAATAGTATACCTATAAACGATTTCTTGTGCAGCAATACTTTATTATTAAGTGATTTTCAAATATTTTTAAGTTTGTGCAACATAACCCCGAAATCGGGTGAGTATTCTAATTTCTTTAGTTTTTACTGTTTGCTTACAAGTTATTACCTTGAAATAATTTATTTATAAAATCACAAGTCCAATAAATAGCTTTGAATTCTGAAACTATTTCGTAGCTTTATAAAATTTCTTGAACTACGGGTTCGATTCCCGTGTATTAATAGGTATAATAGTATTTGTATTTTTTTTTTTACTTAAATATAATTTTCATAGCATCTTTTATTTTAAATTCATTGACACACACACAGATTTTTAATATCATTTGAAACACGCATTATTATATTTTTTTATCGGGTAAATTTTTATAGAAGCTATAGCAACTGCAGCTATCTTAATTGTTCCAGGCCACAGGTAGCCGAACTTTTGAACTTCTGTTCAAGGGCTGTATTTATGTTCTCAGGGTTCTTCCTCCGGAGCCCGTCTCACCCTCGCTACTCTGCGTCCTACCTGATGAGCCTTCGTGGTTCATCTGTATTGCTGACTGGAGCTGACTTCGGGTCTACACCCTTGCCAGCCCCCACCCGGTCCGTGATACAGTGACCCCGCGAACTCGAAATCATCTCTCTAAACCCTAAAGATAAGTCCTCTTAATTGAAGATACAAGAACCATACGAGCGAATCTGTACCTACCGCTGAGAAATAAAATAAAGATTGTTAAAATGTTATTTGTTTTGTTCTTCTTACCTAAAGCCTGGAGGGTGCTTCTCACCCCCCCATCACCAATCCAACGCTTCAGCTAATATGAAATATAAAATTATTTTTATTGGTAGTAATGTAGTAAGTATAATCGAAAACTACAGTTTATTATTAAGATTGTTATTTTTTTTTAAACTGACTAACAATTTTAAAAATAAATCAATTAATATACACTTGTCTGCACAATGGAGTTTCAATACATATTTTTTTTATACATCTAATCTTTTAGATGCGTTTCTTATGCTTTTTTTTGTTTTCTTTCAATTTCTTTTGTTTCTTCATTTACGTTTAATAAATTTGTTATTGAATAAATTTTCTTTATTAAAATAATAGATCTATTGGATATTGTATTGTTTGTCTGATTGTCTTCCTTTTGTTTATATGTTAGAGATTTTACACAGAGTACTGACATTTTCTCCTTTCTCTTGATCACCACCCACTACTAGTTTGTCGTTGATTGCTTTATTTTTCTTTTCATTTTTACTTACATTCTATCTTTCGACTAGATTTCTATTGGCTTTTGTTATGTTGTAATGTTGAATTATCTTCCAAACTGTCTCTTGTTAATTTGAATCAATCAATAAATATATACTTTATTGCACAGTAAATCGTTACATTAAAAACACATGTAATTAAAGGGTTATTAATTAGAAACACAGACGCACAGCATGCTTTTATTGCTAAGGTAGCAATTTCTACCAAGTTACCTTTGGCTAAAAGAAACAAAAAACTGCTGGCTATTGCCTAAGTGAATGAAAATAAATTATAAAAGTAAATACGTATACTGCTACTATACATTAGCCAAACAAAACGAAACAGAATATTATTTCAGAAGCATGAATGCAGCTTGAGGATATGTTCCTTGATTTCTTTAACAAAAAACTCCCAGCGTATTAGAAGAGAGACAAACGAAGCGTTATTTAAGATATTGCGGTGTGTGTGTGTGGATTAAAAAGAACAGCATAAAGAAGCAACAGGATGTAACCTCAAGAACCTAATAACTCCAAGACAAATTGCAGTCGAAAAGCACACCAAAATTTTTAATGAGATAACGTATTATATTATTCCGTCCAAATATCAACGGCTTCAAAATTAAATCAATCAAATCGAACATTTATTTGCTCAAATATTGTGTCAGTACAATTCTTACATTGATTCCATGCTCAACAATATTTTTACCATATATAGTAGTCATGTAAATATTATTATTCAAATGTCAATTCCAATAACGATTGCTTGAGAATTTCGCGGGTTTGAGCACTTCAGACTATGTTGTCGACTCCAATCATAAATATGAAGATCTTCGTGAGTAGTGGCAAATGCTTTTGACAGTCCCTCTAAAGGAGCTTGTGTTGGAAATCGTCTTCATTCATGTGATAAAAAGAAGAGAGAGAAAGGTATTTA